CGGCCCCCGCCCTGCCCCCGCCCTCCGCGCGGCCGCGCCGGCCGAGCGGCGCCGGGCGCAGCCGCCCGCGGCCTGACTGGCGAGACCCGCATGAGCCTGGCAGCAGCGCGGGGCCCCGGGAGGGCGGCCCCGGCCCCGGCATGTCAGGCGAGAGCGAGGAGATCACCCGCCTGCGCAAGCCGCGCTTCTCCTACGAGGAGAACCAGATCCTGATCCAGGAGGTGCGGGCCAACTATGCCAAGCTGTACGGCACGCAGAGCCGGCGGGTGACGGTGGCCGAGCGCCGGCGGGTCTGGGAGGGCATCGCCGCCAAGATCAACAGCATCACCAGCTGGAAGCGGACCGGCCAGGAGGTGCAGAAGCGCTGGAATGACTTCAAGCGGCGCACCAAGGAGAAGCTAGCGCGGGTGCCCCACTCCACCCAGGGGGCCGGCACCGCCTGCGACGAGACCTTCTCCGCCGAGGAGGAGACCATCTTCGCCATCCTGGGGCCCGGCGTGATGGTGGGCGCCGGCGGGGCGGAGGCCGGCGCCCTGCAGAACGCGCCGGGCTTTGCCAGCCCCAGTTACCGCCTGGCGGGGGACCCTTGCGCAGGTGAGTAGCCGTGGTGGAGGGAGCAAGGGCCGCCGAGGTGCAGACCCGCGGCCGCAGGGGGCGGGAGGAGCGCGCGGGTGGCCTGGAGCGCGCCGCAGGTGAGCTGGCGACCCGAGGGCCCGGAACCGGAGCAGAGCGGCACCACGTGTGCTCGCCTGGACCTGGTTTCTAAAGCAGGAGGCCCAGGAGGCAGGGCCAGCGGTTGCCTTGAGGTAAGGCTCACCCGCCAGCACAGTGCGGCGTAATGCTAACGTGCCTCTGAGCATAAGCAGAGCGGTTTCCCCTCACCACTGGAGAGCCACAACCAGATCCCGTGAATCTAGGATGCGTGCGGAGTGGGCTTCCAGGCTGAAGCGTGCGAGTGTCAAGTGCCCAACACATCATCTTTTAAGAAATTAACAACTGAAGGGGGGGCAGAGAGGGTGAGAGAGAGAGAGAGAACAAGGCATTCGGTGGTTGTGCTTTATCCCCCATATCATGCCACCCACACACCCTTTCGGTGGAGGAAATGCATCTTCTAGAATATTGGATGAAATACGATTCCTCTGTGGCACGAAGCTGTCTCTGAGCCACCAGGCAGAGCAAGCATCTCCACAGCAGGATGAGCGCACGCCACAGAAGTTGTACAGGCACGGCAGGGAGCAGGGGACGTGCCCTGAGCACGCCGGCGTGTTCCCCATGTGCCCCGACCCCCAGCTGCCATTTCTTCTAACGAGTGGCTAATTTCTTTCTTTCTCTCTCAGAGGTACTGGGGTTACACATATCCCATAAGACATGTTCTCTGTCTTGCTATCCCACCCCCTAATTCCAGATGTGACTCATTGGTGAAGAAAAGGCACTCTACACGTGCTCAGAAGTACCTGATATCCCAAGAATGAGTTCTGGCATCCAGCAGTGGTGTGAGGGGTGAGACCTGAAATAAAGCTATTTTTATCCCCGCAACGTGCCCATGCCCTGTGACTGGGTATGTCTGCGCCTGGGCTCAGATGAACGGTAGGCGGTCGCGATGACATCATCGCACGTACCGAGCGAGGAGGCAGGGAAGGCTGGCACGGGGCTGCCATGTCTGCGGGGAGGATCGCCCCGTGCACTCCACCTTCTTGGCGCACATCTCCTTTCGGTCTCCCCACATCTGTAGGGCCGGGGCACAAGCAATACATCATTTTCCCTTTCTGACTTTGGCAAAAATCCCACTCCAGGACTGAAGTGGGGCGGAGAGAGGGAGAGATGCTGTGCAGGCTGTAAACATGGTGGGTGGGTGTTGGGCGGGTACGTCTGCTGGAGGGAGCTTCCAGGTGCGGTTTTTATGACGCTGCTGCTCTGCCCATCATGAACTCTGGGCAGGAGTCTGTCTCCAGTGCCGCCTTTAATTTATAGCCTTCCCGTGTGTGCCCACCATTTCTTCGACCGCATTCCTTGCCACAGAAGACCTCCTAAGGAGAGCAAGATGGCCGCGCTGCATCTGCCCTCGGGCTGCTAGTGCTAAGAAACCTCTGCGCGGAGGCACCCTTCCTTCCTTCTCCTGCCGTGGGGGCTCTCCAGCAGCACACAGCTGAACCTCTCCGGAAAGCTTTTCTAGCGCTAGGAGTGAGTTTGGGCAGATATACATCATTGTGCAGTGTCTCTGTGCATGTACAGAGTGCCTTCCCTCACTCCTGAGTCACCATACCTTCCTCCACAGATCTCATACCATATGCAGAGAAGGCCTTCAGGGTGAAAAAGAGAGCATGGAGCCCCAGTGGCTGCCCCTTTGGGCAAATAGGCGCAGGAAGTCATGGCGCTGGGACATGCGTGACCGGAAGAGTCCGGGACAGGCCCCCAGCTGCCGCCGACACTGGGATAGCAGAGGACACTCAAATGCCCAACTGATGCAGAGAAAGGTGCAAAGGGGAACAGATCCGAGGAAGAGGAAGAGGCAGAGCAGACACAGAGCTACGCAATGAGCAGAAACACCACATCGTACAGCCCTCTAGGGACTATGCCATTTCACCGTAGAGGGAAGGGCGAGGCCCACACATTTGAAAACTCCCCCATGGAAAGGGAACATGGTAGCGGGAGGGCAAGATCCTTAACCTCGTCGTTTGCCTGACAAGCTAAATTCCACAAGCAGGTAGCTGGGGTTTTGGGGGGTTTTTTGGACCCACAATTTGAAAAGATACAGTCCACAGAGGGCTGTACCACATTCTATTTGAGCAGCTCGGGTTGGCTCTGGGCGACTCTGTATCCATGCAGTGCGGAAAGACCCTGGGGAGGAGTGCTGGGTGCGGCTTGATTGGTCTCTTCCTTGTCCCCGCAGATACGCCAGCCAGAAGCAACCTCTCCTGCAGCCCAGAGACTTCCGCCCGGGCCTCCTGCTGCACCCTGGATGGCGGCTTGCTGAGGCCCAAGGAACGCGACTCTCCAGCACCCCCCTTGGCCCAGCCCTCGTCACTGCAGATAGTCCAGCTGGCGCCGTCCCCGGCCAGCTTGGGCTGCAGGCCGCTTCCGGAACACTCCCCCGCAGACCCCCGGGGCACCACCCCGTGCCCCTCGACCTCGCCAACCGTGCGGCGCCGGCGCGCCCGCCTGGACCCGCCCATGGAGTCCCCGCTGGATTTCCTGCAGGTCCAGCGGGAGACGGCCGAAGCCATCCGCGAGCTGACGTACACCCTCCGGCAAGGCCTGGAGCGGCTCACCGACGTCGTGGCAGCCCTGCTGCCCCTCCTTCCAGCCCAGCCCGGCGGCCTGCTGCACCCACCGGGGGAGATCCCTGCCCCCGTGGCCAGCCCCTCCATGGAGACACTGCCCCCCAGGGACACCTTCACCACCAAGGTGGAGCTGTCCCCAGAGCAGGCGGAGCACGAGGCCAAATCTCCGCAAGAGGAAGGGCAGCCCGTGCCTGAAGCTGGGCAGTCCCCAAGCCGGGCCCCTCTGCCCCAGAAGCGGAGGAAAGGCATCCCCACTCGCAAACGCCGGGGGCGCTGGAAGAACCTGTGAGCCCCTCGAAGGGCCCTGCGGCGGAAGCGCAGACCTGCCGGGGGAGGTCTTCGCGACTGATCTTGGAGCCCGGTCCCCACAGAGCTCTCCGCCACCATCCTCTGGATAATGCAAGATTTGGCAGAGGGTCCAACCTCTGCCAAGCAGGGTCCTGGCCCCACCTGTGTTTTCTGCTGTGCCTGTGCAACAGGCCACCCACTTCACCACGTGCAGCCCGACAGGTCAACCCAGCTCCAACACACACAAACGCACACTCCACAGCCCAATGTCACTTAAGAGCCTCTTGTGTTTTGCAGTCTCAGGAAGACGGCTAAACCAGGCAGCTTCCTGAGCTGCTGACGGGCTGCCAGGTCACACGGGTGTGCAGCTCCTGAGACCAAAAGCCACCCTGGCTAATTGAGTAATAACCTGGAGTGAGGGAGTTCCAGTGGGGAGAGACCCCCGCAGGCGCTCTGCTGGGGGCACTGCTCTGGCAGGCCCTTTTCTGCTCCCCGGCCCAGCAGCTCTCTGCACGCCAACATCTGACAGTGGGACGTGTGGGGAAAACTGCCCAGGTTCTGGCCTCACGAAGAGGCCGTTCCTTTCCCCTGCACTCTTCGCCCACCCCATCCAGTGCCTGAAAGTCCAGAACCGTCCTCAGCTGAAGACCAGCTCCTGAGAACCAGCTATGGAGGGGCAGGAAGGGGGTGGTTTGCTTTGCCCCTTCCAGACAAAATGGCCCACGGGGAGAAACAACTGCCTCAAAGGACTGCCATTTAAGCCATTCAGTGATGCCCTTTACTCTGTTAAATCCTATCCCGATGGAAGCTCAATAAACTATTTTCATACTAGAGCGCCAGTGTATCCATAGAATTTTATTTGGAAAGCTGTGGTAGATTTGGAGAGGAGAAGTGGAGAATAGGACAAAGCTTTCTACTTAATTCTCCTTAGTAAATACAAAAAAGATGAACTTAGTAGTTTGGGAAGCACTTTACAAAGAAGAAACCCATAGCCTGATATAGAACATGCATTTTGCTCTTGCTCTGCAAAGTAGGATGCTGCCGATTCCACTACAGAGGTAAGAAACCGAGCCTGTCTGCCTAGCAGAAGGTTTTTGCTTTGCTTTGCTCTGCTCTTAGACCCACAGCAAGGTCTGAGGCACTGCAGCTGCTCAGTCCATGAATAAACTCGATTTGTTCAGGTTCAAGTCCACCTTACATATAGGACCAAAGAGAAAGCCTCTCCCCAAGAACGCAAAGCAGGACCTCAAAGGCTCCCATCAGCTGTAAGAGACCCCAGCTTCTCCATACCTCCATTCCCATCTTCTAAACCGAAGCTGGGATCCCATATGCTCTTGGGAGTCTGCCTCATTCAACACTATACATAGCAGTGTGTCTTAGGTCACAGAAATGGGTCTTTGCCTCAAGGAGCTTACAGACACATCACCGCAGTCCCGTGCCAGGGAACGAGGTACAGAATCAGTTCATCAGACTTTGAAGACAGAGAGTTGAGGGGAGGGAGTGTGGAAATGGCAGGCTAAGCTGGGTAGGCTTCCAGACCTTGTACACACCTTAACTGCAATTCTGTGCACATTAACTCAAAGGTAAGTCCCACTATGTTTAATGGGGTTTACTCTCAAATAACTGGATGTAAGATCCCAGCTTCACTTCTGGAGAAGAAGATGGGAATGGAGGTACTGCAAAGGAAATGCCAAGAAAATTCTCACTGCTATTCTTAGAACTGAGGCACTAAAGTCACCCAAAAAGGTGCTGCCAAAGCTGCCAAAAAGTTCTACAGCTTATAAAAACATCACCTGTTGGACTAATAAAATTAAATTTGGTGTCCATGATCTATCCAGTGAAGTCTGCAAATTTCAGCAAAAATGCGAAATTGATAAAAATCGCAATAGGTAGAGCAAGTTAAAATTGACACACTGCCATTTTTACCCTAAGTCGTGGCTCCGTACATGAGATCTTTCATATTTTGGTGAAAACTGTACTTACAGAATCATAGAAGAGTTGGAAGGGGCCATGAAGGCCATCGAGTCCAACCCCCTGCTGTTGCAGGACACCACGTCACACCATTCCACTCAGAGGGCCGTCCAGGTTCTCTACTTGATTTAGCTTTCTTGAGAAGATACGCCTTGCATTATAATGTAGGTGAATTTCTGAGCAGCGGTTCAAAAGTTCCTAGGGGTTTTCCACCCCATGCAAGTCTGTGCCAACAACTGTTGGCAAAACTATGCCAGGCACGCTTAATTTCACTCTGAAGTTAGAATGCTGCTAATACTCTCATTAGTTTTTGTGAGGAATTCCAGTGTTCTGACAGTGGGGGACGGATACCAGTAAACCGTTGGCCATGCGAAGAACGCAGTAATTTTGAAGGCTGACAACCCATTTCCACTAATTGATACATCACTGATAAAGAGGGATAGGGAAGGAAAGGGAATGGAATTGGATTGGATTCCTTTGCAGCCTTCTTCAGAAGTAGGCCTTTCTGAACATCTGCGGACATACACGTTTGTTTGAAGTTTTTATATGCCGTCCCAATACTAAAAGTCTCTGGATGGCTTACAAAAACCAAAAAACAAAGCAACCATATACAACCACTAACACACTGTATCTGATAAATGATGATAAAAACAAGGATAAAACCAATTAATGGTTAATTGTTAACATTTCTATTTATTTACTCAGTGACTTGGTAACTTTTCTGTTGGTATTTCCCCCACCCCCCACAGCCATGCAATAAAAAATACCCTTTTTATAAACCAGAGATATTCAACTATCAAAAAACTTGCCAGTTCAAGACCAGAGTTAAGGCTATCGACTTAGACTGAAGACCCACAAAAACGCAGCATCCGAAGCTAAGCCTAACTCCTTAACAGACACGATGCTTGATCAGCAGTGGGGCTGAACTCTGCCATAAATTCTGCTCCCTTTCACACAGCTACATGCGGGTCAACCCACCGGGAGATACGCCTGGCAAAGCAGCAAGGCTAGCGTGCAATGGAAAACCAGGACGGCATGGGGCACCTCCAGTGCTTCTAGCCCTGCCATCCTCTGTACTTGGACGCAGGCCTGAAAAGCCAGGGACTCGAGCCCACGGACAGCAAGCCATACACAAGCACCATTCGTGAGGGAACTTCAGCACAACCTGGACTGCAAGGCTTGTCCTTCCAGCCACCAGTCTTAGGCTTCAGATCCCGGGGATTGCAGAGCTTCAGCCAGTGTGAGAGAGCCTTCACTCTGGCAGGTTTTGATAACTGTATGACGAGGATGCCACTGGTGCGCGTGGCACTTCACAAAGGACAAAAAAGCAGGTCCCTTCCTTGAGGGGCTTACAGTCTGTCCAGGGAAAACAAGGAAAGCAGCGGAGGAAGAGGTAAACAAGGAAGACCTGAATCAGATATTTAAGCTTAGTTACAGGCCTGGCTCATGATAAAATTATGTGGGTGAAAACATTGCTCTCAACCCCGAAGCTGGCCCGACAAATTCCTGGCTGGTTTTCAAAATATGCATCCCAGCGGTTGGGTTTTCCCCATCCCATTGCTTTCGCCCTCATCTCCCAAGATGTGTACCCCTCTCCTTGCAATTTTGCTTTCGTGAAATCAAGGCAGCTTGCTCATGTTACACAGGAGAACATAAAGTCTACCCAAGCCCTCTCACAAATTGAGCAGGAACAGCCAGAGCTTTGCAGATAAAACTCAGAAAGCTCAAAGGTGTCATTATAAGATATACACTGCAATTCTATAGCCACTAACCTGGCAGGAAGCGCCACTGGACTCGATGGTTACTTTGGGTGGGGATGCCGTGGCTGGGGTTGCCCTTGTCCAGAAGAGGAATTCCAGTAGGTATTGGAATCCCCTTTCTTGCTTTCCCCTTTGCATCGGTCAGGGCAACTGGGATACATTTGGGAAGGCACCCAGGTTAGGAAATGCTGAACTGAACTGGTTCTAAGTGTGATACAAGCAGTGCTTTTTTTGTAAAAAAAAAAAAAAAAAAAAGGTGCCGGAACTCACTTCTTGGGGTCACACTTTTACACAATGGCTGCCTCTGGCAGTAAGCACTCTGCGCGCAACCACACGACCGATCCCAAGCCGAGCAGCGTCCCAAGCCAAGCAGCGCCCTCACAATCAGCGCCGACACACAAGCAGCCCGCAGGCACTATCTTCATGATTTTTGCCGCCAACCTGCTACGCCCAACAGGGCGCTTCACAATCACTTAGAAAAATCTGTCAAAAAAGGTGCCGGAACACTGTTCCGGTGCGTTCTATGACAAAAAAAAAAAAGCCCTGGATACAAGGCAGTCCTTCCTATGGAGAATATCCAAAAGATAGGGTGCCACTACCAAAAAGGCCCTTTTCTGAGTGCTGCAATTTGGTGGCAGGTGAAGCCAGAGAAGGGCACCAGACGATGGTCTAAATTGTGAGGAGAGGCTGTTCTAAGAATGCAGGTACCAGACAGCAAAGGTGAGAAAAGACAACAGCAGGATTCCCATATATACACATACATACATACAAGTGTACCTTTGGAATTTTGTCTCAACTTGACAACAAGACACTTACACAGAGACATCTTCATAAACTTTGCATGGACAAAATGAATTTCAGAAGGCAACTGGTGGAACACACGCACTTCTGTACCTGGAGGGGGGAAAAATGTGTTAACTTCTCAGAATGCATATCCTAACAGCAAGTTGACAGAAAGGAGGTTACATATTACCTTTCACTGGACTAGGGCTGTTTAGCATATAAATATGCAAGCTTTCTGGTTTGACAGAATCTTTCATTGAACAGAATACCAGACCAAGAAAGTGCTATAGTGCATTGATTTTTCCTACTCTTGGGGATGAAGAGTTAAGCAGGGAGATTGCCAAGAAGAGACAGGGGAGTTCTTAAGAGTTTGACCTGATGTCCCCCCACCCACCAATTGGCAACAAAACACAAAAAACAGTTTTCCCCATCCGACATGGGGTGGGTAGGGAGTTCGCTTGATCTCTCTTTGCTATGGATCCCCTGAAAACTCTGCGCATGTGCCACTGCGAACAGGCCACCCTGCTCCTTCATCTGGGTGCAGTTTCCCATCCTCTTCTACACGTTTTCAACATGCCTGCAACATATTCCAAACACCTGTTGTTTGGCTCAGGCAGGGAAGTATCTCTTTTGATTTCTCCTTGGTACTTGCAGTACATTCGGCATTTGGAAATTGTCACCTGCCTTGTGCGAGCTTTTGAAGAGAGTCTGCTGGAGTTCTGCACGATGCACTACGGAGTTATGGCCTTAACAGCTTGGGACCTGGATACCTAAAGGAACGCCTTCTTCCGTACTTGCCCTCCCGCCCCGAGATTGGCAGCAGAGGCCCTCCTCCAGGAGAGACATCAGGAGGTAAAGTACCCGGAGGAGGGCCTTCTCTGCGGTGGTGCCCCATCTGTGGAATGCGCTCCCCAGAGAGGTCCGCCTGGCGCCGTCGTTATTTGTCTTTCGGCGCCAGGCCAAGACCTTTTTATTTCAACAACATTTTAATAACTTTTAACATCAGTTTATAGGTTTTATCTGCAGCCAGGGTGGATCTGGATTTTATGTGTATTATGTTTTATTTCATTTTATGTAAGCCGTCCCGAGGCTATGTGATGGGACGGCGTACAAATACTCCAAATAAATAAATAAATATTCAATAGGTGATGGTCCCAACCCCAGGACCGCTTTCCCACCCATCTATGTGCGCCCGAGTCCATCACCGGGGTGTTCTCGCAAGGGGCTTTCGGGCTGCCCGTGGCTACAAGGGAAAAAAATACGGGATGGGTGCAAATGATCACCCCCCGCCCCGCTTCCTTTTGGACCTTGCAGGAGCATATTTCTCTTTTGCCCCGTCCGTCAGCAGCCCCCTCGGTGCCACCCCTAGAGCCGAACTCTGACCAGCTGGGCGTGGGGAACTCGCGCAGAAAGCAGCGAGGGCCGGAAATGCGCAACAGCATCCGGGCTTCTCCCGGCGCGCTGCATCCTGGGAGATGTAGTTCCTTCCTTTCTAAGGCTGAGAAATTGCATTAACCCTTCAGGGTTCGTTATCCTTTCTCCCCCGCAAGGCGGGAGGCGACGGAGGAAGAGGGAAACCCGTTTGGGAGCAGAAGGGGAACGAGGCGGGGAGAGAGGTGTAGGGAGAGGAGCAGGGAGGCAAATCGTTTCATCCTGGTTTCCTCAAGGAGAGAAAAAACCCATGCCAGTTCCAAGCTATGGAAGTGGTTTGAAGAGGACATGAGGGTATTTGGGGACCAGGAACCCTGAAGGAGCTCCCCAAAGCTGTGAGCGGGGCGCTGGGCCATTCTTTATTCCTGCCAGAAGTGCCCCAGACGCAGGGTGAAGCTGCCTGCCCTGCTCACCTCTCACCCTAGGGGCCTTTGCAGCTCTATGGTCCTGGGGGCTCATCTCCCCACTACGAGCCTGCCGCCCTGAAAACACCGCCCCCCCCCCCTTGGCAATGGCCATCCTGAATGGGCCAATTCCCGAAAAAGAACGTGATTCCCACATGACTCCACCAGCCTGAGCTTTCCAGAAGTTCAGCTCTTTCCTCGTCCTCCAGCAGAGAGCCAGGTGGGCTGCTACTCCCTAGCCTGAGATATGCTGAGGGTCTCCCCAGCTGGAGAAGATGTGCATTCATGCAACCACTGTTCCCTGAATGAAAACAGGCTGGTGCAAATCTAAGGAAATTGTCCCAGTGGGTCCCTCCCTCCATCCCCCCCACTGTGTGTACTACAGAAATACAGGGAACAACCCACTCGGCACTGCTTGAAGTGCCCTATAAATGCGTTAGACTTTTAAGGTAGCACAAGGCCACGTGTTGTCTTGTTCCAGTATCCTTGGAACCCGTTCTGTGTGGCTGTATAGGCTGATTCGTGAGCAAGCGTGTCCACAGGGGTTTTTCCTGCCAAAACATTCTGTGTAAGCTGAAAGCTTGCTCACCTAAAATAGCCACTGAAGCAACTCTGTAAATGGAATAATTTTTGATCCTGGAGCAAGACAATGTGAATCAAAACATTCCTTCAAAAGAATGTTCAGATTCCTAGAAAGTAGCTGTTCAGCAGTGCAGTTTTGCATATGAGGCCTCAGAATAAAATGCCACCAAGTTAAATGGGACTTGTACCCAGCCGAATAGAGAACTGCAGCCTTCATCTGCTGCAACAAGACAAGATAATCCTGTCGAATGACTAATTCACTGCAGTTCATTAATTGCAAAGACACTCGTGACTCTTCGAACTATTTACTTCATTTCTATACTACCCAGTAGCTGATGCCAACTGGCAGGTTGACAACCAGAAAGCCTATATCTTGTTTGGATTAAATAAGACAGCCCCTTCCGTTTAGTGCAATGTATGCGTTGGTATATAGGGAAAACTTTCAGGGGGACAGCTCGCATCTTGCGTGCGATGCGGCGCGTTTGCAACTCCACATGAACGTGCTCCTTTGTGCGCCCGCCGCCCTCGCGCATACCCCAAATCAAGCAAGAAGCCAGCTCGTTTTTGCAAAAGTTGCGCTTTTGCAAAGAGAGTCCCCGGGGGCATCTTGTCCTCGGGGCGCGGGCGGCCCGCGACGTCTTGCAAGGAAGGCGCCGCTTCTCTGCATGGGCCGCCGCTGCAGCGCCCTCGCAGCGCCCGCAACAAACGAACCCCGAAAGGCCCGGGAGAAGCAGCGGCCGCCCGCCGGACCCGGCTGCCTTTAAGAGTTTTCCGCGCCAGGCTGCAGGACTACATCTCCCAGCAGGCCTTGCAGCGGAGTTATGTAAGTTTCTCCCTGTAAGAGGGCAGGCGAGAGGGGAATTTCCTCCCCTTTTTTCCTCGCTCTCGCCCCCCCGCGCCTTCCTCCCCTGGTTGAGGACCGGCCCCCCCGCGCCTCGGGCCTGCTCTGGGCGCACAGGTGCAAGCGGACCCCGCGTCCCAGGCGGCCACACCGGCTGCGAGCCGAGCCGAGCCGAGCCGAGCCGGGGCGGGCAGCGGCGGCGGCGGCGGCGGCGGCGGGCGGGCGAGCAGCCAGCCAGCCAGCCAGCCAGCCAGCGGGGCGCCAAGATGTCTTCGGTGCAGACGTCCCGCAGACAATGGTGCTACTTGTGCGACCTGCCCAAAATGCCGTGGGCCATGATCTGGGACTTCAGCGAGGCCGTGTGCCGCGGCTGCGTCAACTTCGAGGGCGCCGACCGCATCGAGTTCCTCATCGAGACGGCGCGGCAGCTCAAGAGGAACCACGTCCTGCAGGAGGGGCGCTCGCCGGGGCCGCAGGGGGTCAAGCACGCCAAGGACGGCGGCGCGGCCCTGGAGCGCTACGAGCGCGGCCGCCTGTCCGCGGGCGGCGGCGGCGGCGGCGGCGACTACGCC